TGACCATAGCGTTGTATCTCTCTTCGATTGCTAATGTATAACTTGGTCATTGGGACTAGTCTGTCGCTGCTTGCGTGAAGGCTAGCTTTCGTCGGTCTCGTGCCTTCGTGCCGACCGCCGCTCTGCCCCGTCGAGTTTTCTGATACGTTTATCCCTCTCTCCCTCGCTTTTCCCCCTTTCGGCTCCTCGCCGCTCGCCTACGGGGTCGTCGCCGAACGTCGACCCGGGTCTACGCGCCTAGTCGCCGCGACAGAAACTAGGCGCTCCTGTTCTGAGTTGCCATCATGCTCCGCGCCAGCAACGGCGCGGACTACAAGGATGCCACAGCCACGGGTACGGACAAGTTCCGCATCGCGCAGGAGGCGTTCCAGGCGCAGTGCCGCGCGGAGTCCATGGTGCGTCCGCCCGTCCCAGCTGCGTGGCCATGTCTTTCCGTCTCACACTCTCTTCTATTACTTGACGCGACCTGAATGCCCTCCAATGCGTCTTACGTCCGACGTCTTGTGCTTGACATCTCGCGCCTCACGGCTTCCAATCCATTGTTGCCACCCATGCGTACACCATCTCGCGCACGCCCTCCAAACCGCGTACAACCACGCCCCATGGCTTGCATCACTCTCCTGTGACATGACCAATGTGCTACGCTACATCCACCCTCCCCACTCCTGTCGCCCCGCAGCGGATCTGTGTGGCGAACTCGCTCATGCCGACAATCCATTCCATGAAGCTCCTCCTCTCCGACGAGGCCCAGATCGCCAAGCGCCGCAATCCCGAGCTGCGCAGCGTGCAGGCGGATAAGACCGATGCACAGTGGAAGGTCGCCGCCCTGCTCGACGAGCTGCTGCTCTCGCGCAAGCGCGAGGGCCAGCGCGATCAGCGCATGGACACGAGCTAAACTTCATGCGTGTGCGCGCGGGACCAACCGACCAAGACAACAATGACTGGATACGCGTGGATGTGGGAAACGTGGCTTCCTATGTGGCCACGAGACATGCGCGGACGCGGTATTGGTTCGGTGGCTCAGGTATGTTGCTCGCTTCACCCTGAAAAATCCTATTAATGATTGTCTTTGTCTGTGCTATCTTCCTTGAGGTATCCTACTACGCGGCGCGGGAGGCCTTGCCGCTTTCGCATACTACTACATGCCCTGCGTCCCGCGAAGCTCAGTCATGTGGATCGTCCTTGTCGCCAGTCTCCTTGTACGTGCCATCCCTTCCCCCTCATCAGGCCGCCTGTGTCCTCCTGTGTCATGGGCTCACGCTGACTGCACTCCCTTTGTCCTCTCCCAGTCGTTCGTCGGGATCTACTGTGTCAATACAATGATCCACAACACGACATCGCTGACCTCTACTGCGCCAGGCTCGCTGACCTCAAATCTCTCCAAGGCAGGCTTCTACGTCGTCCACGTTACGCCTGAATTCCTCGCAGCTGCAGTCCTTCTATCGCTCAATGCTCATTGTGTGTTTGCGACCGGCATGTGGGGCGACTGGCAGATAAGCGACCCGAGGCTGCAGAACAACACCCCTGGCAATATGTCTTCCACGTCACGCCTGAACTCGCTGCTGCAATTCTTATGGTGCTCGCCTCTTGTGGGGTTTTTGCTACGGACATGTGGGGCGATGCGAAATCGCAGAGTGGCTCCAGTATCGTACTTCTGGTATTCTGCCACTGTCTGCTTTGTCGTTTGTACAAGAAATAAAGCATTATATTGATTAAACTAAGAGGCTAAGTAATGTACTAAAGGAGTGACTGTGCGATACCAAGATGATTGGATGATATGAGCAAAGCTGGGTAGTGGAGACTACAGCATCGAATGACCCCCAATCGCATTGAGAGTCTCAAGGAGGAACCACTGCTCGATCGCAATGCGAGGCTGTTCCTCGTGAGCAAGCTTGAGGAGGTAAGGGAATGGGATAAGAAGCTGGCGCAGGCAAGTACGAATCGAAAACTTTCCCAAGTTCACCCACATCTCGCCCATGGCTGGTTCAGGGCCATACTCAGGATGTGCATCTGTTATAAATTCAACCTATACATTGGGGATGAGCAATCGAAGTGGACTATTAAGGGCAACTGTACCGAAATCCTGTCGCGCTCGAGTACCGAGGTTGTGCCTGTCGTTGCCCAGGTAAACATGCGAGGTCGGAATCCAGCATCGCCAATGAACTCGAGCTGAGGATGAACAACTGGGTCGAAGAGATCCTTGACATCATTGAAGTCTTCAGGACGAGGGGTCCCCTTTCCTCGCAGGAAGTCGAGCAAGAGATCTTTGGGGGAAGTCGACTCGACCCCAAGTGCATGGGAAAGGGCAGCACACATGCCAGGCGATTGTGGAATAAACTCGAGATGATCCTGCAACTTGTCAAAGGAGGAGATATGACCATCCCAGATCAGCGACCAGAATCTCTCAGGGCCTCCAACGAACAACTTTGGGACCTGTGTGATGTTTAGACTCATTGAGCACAATCACGATCGAGCCTCCAAACTTACATGATAGAATGAGAAGCCATTCCGACATGAAAGACGGAAGCCCGATATGAATGCTTGAATCTCGGGATGCTCAGGAGGGGCTGTCACGGACGTTGGACAGACACCCCTTTTTGCCGCCCATTCCCTTTCCTTTGACGCCCACCTTCCATTTCCGGACCGTTTCCTTTCCTAGCTCATCCCAGTTTGGACACTGTAGATACGTTCCCACAGCCGCATGCTACGTTCCCGTGATCGCCATGCCCTTGCCTTTTCTTTCTCGCCCTTTGTTCCCCCTTTG